ATGAAAAAGGAAAAATAAAATTAAGTAGGTGGAAATATCCACCTAATTAGTCACAAATTCACAATCATCTACCGAAAATTACACAAAAGAGAAGGTAAACGAGGAATTGCAGAGGTTCCTTCCTTCCCGGTTCTCTCCGATGGCCATTTCCGCCGTGACGACTCATCGCCCCTCCCTCTTTCGCTTCCCGAATATCTCCCCGTCCACCTCCTTGCGAAAAAATTCAATCTCCTTTCGATTCGTGAGGTCCAATATCAGCCTCCGGAGACCGATCTCCATTCAGGCAACTTCATTTCCAGGTAATCTTTTTCTTTGTTTAAAAAACTGGTTGGATATGAAGAATTTCGTGACATCATTTTTGGTTTAAAAATTTGCTTCGTTACAATTTATGCTTTAAATTAATGAAATTATTCGTGGTTGCTGCTGTGTTGCAGCGGCGCCGACATCCGAGGGCCTGGCGCCTGCGATTTCGCTAACTGATGGTGCTCTGAAGCACTTGAATAAGATGAGAGCTGAGAAGAATGAGGATTTGTGCTTGAGGATCGGTGTTAAGCAGGGTGGATGTTCGGGGATGTCGTACACGATGGAGTTTGAGAATAGATCGAACACTAGACCAGATGACTCCATGATTGAATATAACGGTTTTACGATCGGTATGCCCTAGCATCCTTGTTTAGTTGTTTACGTTCAATGTTATTCACTTGCCTTTTCCTTATTATGTACTTATGAAATTCATAAGTGGTTTGATTGTAATATTTATTAGCAGTTTTCTTGCGATGTGAATTAGTGTTAGTAGGCAGTAATTGAAGCATGATAGGATAACATGGATTGGACCCAACACAAAGTTTATGACAGAAACCTGAAATTATAGTGAAATGCAAACCCATCTAATTGGGATGTTGCCTGATTTGATTTATTTTAGAACAAATCAGTTATTCCCAGTTTTGAATCAAGTTAAATACTTAAGTCTGAATTTGTCACGATTTTTGTGTGTAAACTCATTGGTATGTTTTATGTTGATTCAGTGCTTGATTGGATAAGCAAAATTATGGATGAGAAATTGGGAGTTACTGCTTGTGGATTTGATGTGTCTAGCCTACAGAGAAGAATTCTTCTTTTAAGCATGCTACGGAATGATGTATAATAGTGGATATGTTTTCTTTATGAACTTGAAGTTTTCGGTTCTCACAGCCCCTTAGTCCCCTACCTTTTGTCCAGAGTACAGATGACTGTTTTCATGAGCAATCCAACTTAGCAGGGTTAATCCAAGCTTAATAAGTGAATAACCTAACTGGAGATTGGTTCCTCTAAAAATCTGTTAAATACAAAAATGTGTATAATAATTCGCTAGGATATATTGTTGGCAGTTAAAAAAGATATTGCTATTGTACATTTGCTTGCAGTCTTGACAAGTTTTTGCAACTGTTCAAATTACACAAATTTAAAGCATGAAGACCAAACTAAAAGAGGAGATATGGGGGAAAGATAGGTCAAAAATCCTGAATTGGGTTTTCTCTTTGGCCTGTACTATAGTCAAATCTAAGACTAGGAGAAAAGTGCTCCACAGTCTAAGTGGACCATAATCAAATCCTTTCTCCACCTAATAAATGGGAACAAGCGTATTTATAATTTCTAATACCTGGCCCTTAACTAAATCATAATTTAAATTGCTTTTAAATAAAACAAAGGTAACCTAAGCCACACTAGGAAAGGAAGTGGAGAGCTCATAATCCTAGCCCATTTATTAATCTGCCTAATTTGCCAAAACTTCCTAGCTGACTTTAATTTTTTTATTTAATACTGAGAAATCTTATAATCTTAAGAATAACTTAAAGTGTGCTTTCTCTCCCTTTCTGTTGCTGCTTCTACATAGACCTTTCATGTTGATGTTATAGAGAAAAAGCAGTTAAGTTAGCATTAACTGGTGAGCTGTGAGCAAGAAATGGTGTGCTTGAGAAATAGAACCAGTTGAATTCCAGATTTGATGGTACTCAAAAGAAAGATGAGTTATTTGAATTGCCCATAAAGCATTATAATTTATACATCTCATCTCTCACCCATAGTAGTGATGCATTACTTGTACAGGAGGAAACTGGACATAGCTATCAGGATGATTATGGTGTAAACTTTAGCCTCCATTAATCTTTTCCACTTGTGTTATGAATTTTGAGACATTGTATTTCATTCTCTCACGTAATTTTTATGAATGCATGTTTGTCTGAATGTTCTCTACTTCTCAATCATTTACGTTTTCTTTACCACTGTTTGGAAATTGAAAGGGAGGTGCAGCTCTACAAAGTTAACTGAACATGTATTTTGTTTGTGCTTTGCACTAATTGAGTATCATCTCCTGGATTGAAGCATGCTTCCTTTTACGATATGTTGTTGTTCTTGAATAAGACTTTAAACACTTGAAGTTACACTTATTTCTTTGGTATTGAATTTTTATGAGTTAGTTATATCAGTAAGACTCTAGAGTTATCCATCCATATAATATTTTTTAAAAGTTGGTATTCATATAATGTTTGGCAGTCCAGTATATGCATGATGCATAGAGTGGGTTTTTAAAGTCTATTTATATAATTTAGGCAGTCCAGTATATGTATTGTAAACTTATCCTAGGGAGGCCTTTGAAAACTCAAGTAGTTTGTTCATTATTGAAATTTTTTATTTGTCTCCCAACCTACATATCTGTTGGATGAATAGCTACAGCTTTTATAACACCGCATGTGATTTCATTTACTTAGCTGAGCATATAAGAATTGATTTTCTCTTATGCGCTTAAATACATCTAATGTTGTTGCTCAACCCTTCCCTTGGTTTTGCAGTTTGTGATCCAAAGAGCCTACTCTTCTTATTTGGAATGCAGCTAGACTACAGTGATGCTCTTATTGGTGGCGGATTCTCCTTTAAGAACCCAAATGCCACACAAACTTGTGGTTGCGGTAAATCCTTTGCTGCAGAGATGTGAAATTATGTGTACAAAGACAGGTGAACAGATAGTAGATAATAACCATGATTCCTCAAATGTAGTATGACACGTCCGTTAATGAAATCTTTCAGTGACTTGATACTTGGACTGCCATTTTGCTTCTTTTTATGTTGTGAAGAATATACATCCTGCCTATAAACTTATTTATCTAAATGAATCCTCCTGGAACGCATGAAATGGAATTAGGGATTTGAGTTTAAGTTCGTTTGCAACCTTGGTGAATCAGATTTCATAGCAGCGTTCACCATTACATGAGCTTGATGCCCTGGGCTTTCTTTTATCCTGCTAGATTATCAAACTAGGGCCCGTTTGCTCCAAAAGTTTGGAATATCTGTTAGGTTTGCAAACAAAACTGATACGAGATAGGTATTTGAACGAGACCACCAAGAAATGGTAGGAGACTTATTAATTTGTAATTTTGTCAAACATAAGAGAGAAAAAAACCCCAAGATTTTTACCCAAATGAGATGAAATCTAAACTAATTGTTGAGAACAGATTTAAACAATACCTAGCTTTATCATTCTAAAACTGATTTTAAGGGAGAACTTTTTCATTGTTTATCTTAACTTGCCTGCATGTTATAAGACTTTATTCTAGATTTAACTTCTATAATTCTATAGCTGTGCTACTTAGAAGATTGATCGATGGATATAAACTTGTATTTTTAATTTTTTTTTATCATTTTTTAGTATTTGAGCAAACTCAATATGTCGTAAGAAATAGGGAAATTATTTTTATACAATCTTTTTATCTTACCTTTTTTACAAT